CCTGGACAGCCTTCCAAAGCACACAGCAACATAGCTTGGCAGTGCAACACAGCCCTGGCTAAGGGGGTGGGAGCCTCCTGTCCTCCTGGATGTGATCCACCCAGCCCTGGTCCTGGCCCCAGCTCTAAACACCTCCCCATGTTCCTGCCTCTCTAGCACCAGACAAGAGTAGGCTGGAGTCAAGCCTGTGGGGCCCTGTGCTGCTGCTGGGCACCACCAAGGTGAAGAAATGTAAGGTGCTGCCCTCCAAGGTGCAGATGCTGGAGCAGCGGTTCTGGCAGCAGCAGTACCTGTCGGTGTGCTGACCAACTTGGGACTAAGTCAGCAGAAGGGGCAGGAGGCATGAAGGCTCCTGTCAAAGCACAACAGAAAGGTTGTGCAGGGAAAGGGGCAAAGCAGCACAGGCAGGGCAGTTGCTAGCGGCTCCCCTGTGCCTCTCCCTTGGGATGGATTTGCTGGCTGGGCAATACAGCCTTGCAGGGGCAGGATACCTAACTGCTCACCTGGAATTCAGGCATCCTTAGACACCTGCACTGGGGCTTCTACCCAGGACAGCAGGAGGGCTCGGACTGTCTGCCCCCAGCACCCGGCACGGCTTTCCCTGCTCCACCCACCTCCGTCCTGGGCAAGCTCCCGGCCTCCCTGCTGGACACTGCCCATGGGAGAGGCAGCATGAGCTCCTGGGGGCTCTGCATGGCTTAGTCTGGGCAGGCTGGGTGCAATGCAGGCAGGAGCTTGGCTCTCTCCTTGGCCCGCCTGATCTTCAGCTGAGCCCCCTTCAAAATATTAATTCCTCATACTGCACACCACACAAGACAGATATTAAAACAAAATTACTTCATTAGGAATGCTAATGCTTCCAGCAACCTACATCATTTTTATCCCTCCAAAGAAAAAAAAAATATAGTCTTTTGCTATAACATAAAGGGAGGTCATACTACGATTGTTTTTTTACAGAGGTAAAAGCTTTTTCTTTTTCTTACCTTAACACTTCCTGACTTTTTTTTATTACTATAATAAATGCCCTTTCCACTGCTGAGACCATGAGAGTCTTGAATTGCATCTGTAAGCATATTTGAATTTTCAGTGTTGGTAGCAACAGAACCGTCTTTTTTTTGAAGCATCTGAGTTTGCAGACCTTGCCATGATTCCTGGCAGAGAACTAGCAGTTTCAACACGTCACACTCCAGTTTAAGCTTTGCCTTTAAGCATACCAACCCCTACCCCCACCCTAAGGGTGACTGCTTGGAGGATGAGGGAAACTTCCTTGAACTGCATTGCCCATCCCACTGTTGTGTGTCAAGCGCTACTTTCAGTGTTGGCAAATACCAGCTTCATTTCATACCTGTGTCTGTGCCTTGCAGAACACAGAACTGTGAGTGACTACTTCTGAATGACTACTTTGCCTCAGTATTTCACTGGGCCAAGGGGAAAATCATACCAGATAGGGTACAGAACAAGCAGGGCAGGAATGATTACTTTTCTACTGTTGCCGTAGACCTGGTGTGTGATCAGTTAAAGAAATTAGACATATATAAGTCAGCAGGACCGGATGCACTTGATCCGAGAGCGCTGAAGGAACTGGCCGAAGTAATTGCGGAGCCCCTGGCAAAACTCTTCCAAAATTCATGGTGCTCCAGAGAGGTCCCTGATGACTGGAAGAGGGCCAGTGTTGTGCCCATCTTCAAGAAAGGGAGGAGGGAGGACCCAGGCAACTATAGGCCAATTAGCCTAACTTCTATCCCAGGGAAAATCCTGGAAAAATTCATTAAGTAGTCTATGTGCTACAGGCTTGCAGAAGGTAGGATTCAAATGACAGCCAGCATGGCTTTGTTGTGGGCAGGTCTTGTCTTACCAACCTCATCTCCTTTTGTGATCAGGTAATTTGCCACCTGGATAAGAGAGAGGAGGGAGACATTGTATACGTTGACTTCCAAAAAGACTTTGATCTGGTATCCCATGATGTTCTTGTGAAAAAAATGGCGGATTGCAGGCTTCACTGCTCCACGGTTAGTTGGGTATGAAGCTGGATGTGGGGTAGGATCCAGAGAGTCCTAATGAATGGATCCATGTTGTCCTGGTGGGAAGTGGCCAGTGGTGTTCCTCAGGGGTCAGTGCTTGGTCCAGTACTTTTCAACATCTTTATTAATGATTTGGATGTGGGGGTGAAGAGCTCACTAGCCAAGTTTGTGGATGACACCAAGTTTGTGGATGACACCAAGTTACGGGGAAATGTGGTCACACTTGAAGATAGGCTACAGATACAGGCTGATCTAGACAGGCTAGCAAGTTGGGCGAGTTGGAACCAGATGAAGTTCAACACTGAGAAATGTAAAGTGCTCCACCTGGGGATGAACAACCCCCAACACATTTACATGTTTGGCGGCTCCAAACTGACCAGCACCACGAACGAAAGGGTCCTGGGGGTAATAATAGACCACAGTATGAATATGAGTCAGCAGTGTGATGCTGTTCCCAGCAGGGCAAATAGTACTCTGGCATGCATCTATAGATGCATCTTCAGCAAAACCAAGGAAGTGATTCTCCCACTCTACTTGGCATTGGTGACCCCCAGCTGGAGTACTGCATCCAGTTCTGGATGCCACACCTTAACAAGGATGTGGTAAAAATTGAAGGTCCAGAGAAGGGCCACTTGTATGATTAGAGACTTGCACAGCAAGCCATACAAGGAAAGGCTGAGGGACCTGGAACTCTTCAGTCTGAAAAAGAGAAGGCTGAGAGGAGACTTGATAGCAGCTTACGGCTACATCAGGCAGAAACAATTGTAGCAGGGTCCAGGGCAAATCAGCCTGTGTGGAGCCTGGATGCAGCGGGGGGGGGGGGCACACACGGGAGAGGGTGGTGAGCGGCCAGACATGAAGCTGGCCCAGCTCTGCGGGGCCCTCCCAAAGTGTGGGGGCCCAGGGCAGTTGCCCTGATTTGTGTCCCCCCTAGGGATGGTCCTGCCATCAAGGGCTTGGTGAAAGGGCACCCTTAGGGAAAACCAGGAGTAACTGCCATAAACTCCTGGAAGACCATTTCAGGCTCAACATTAGGAAAAACAGCTTCAGAGTTAGTGTCCATACTGTGGAATAAGCTCCCTCCAGAGGTGGTGCAATCACCTACTCTGGAAATCTTCAAGAGGAGACTGGACTATCACCATGGTGTGGTCACCTGAAGCCAGCTGTCTTTCCTGCCTGCTACAGGGGGCTGGACCCGAAGATCTTCCAAGGTCCCTTCCAGCCTTACAATCTATGCCTGCTCTCAGCGCCTTCTCACACCCATGTCTGCTCTGCACCAAGCACGCCTGGTCTCAGCTCTGTCTCACACTTGGTGAGCCCTGGAACGGGCATGCCTGGTCTTAGCATCCTCTCACGTCCATGTCTAAGCCATTATAGATGGACAGTTCAGGATCCCACTGCTGAAAACTCCTAGCTCAAGTGGCTATTTGAATTTTCAGGTTGGCAAATACCCAGGTGATAATTGAGTACTTTGCACTTCCAGCAACAAAACTTGCTTTATCTATTTAACTCCCTCACACCCACCCACAACAAGGAAGTGTGGAGTTAAGAAATTACAGGCTTTGGGGCTACACCTGGTGGGCAAACTCTCAATGCTGACAGACCCTAAATCACATTTGTGTGATAGACAAAACCTAGTTCAACTGCATCTGGTCCAGCTAAACTATGTCCATTGAGCTTTAGGTATCATCAGGCCCCTAAATGAAATTTAATCTCATGTGTGTATCATGTTACAGGTTGTAACACTTCATCTGGTTGTAAAGTGTAATGTCTATCATGGCCTTGAATGTCTAGCATAACTTTCTGGGATGAGATGTACTCATTAATTTTTTTGGAAGGAAGCTTCAAACACCACACTCAATAGGCCAGATTTTGATGCCACAGAAGTACAGGCCGCAGTCTCGTTTGAACTTGGTGGAGCAGCTGAAAGAATTAGTGCCTGCTCAGCAGAGTACAAGCATCCTACAGGGACCCAATCTAGCAGGATCCAAAGAACAGGTTTCAGGAAATAGAGTCATACTGGATACCTGTAACGCTTGGGTGGTTTAGACCTGGTGGCATCGCTAATCCTTACCATCCCTGTGGACGAAGAGGGGATTCTTTACAATCTTTTTCTATGAAGTGAAAGGGAACCGTTTTGAGAACAGTTTCACATCCTAGTCTGAATTGTGCATTTGCCCCAAGAACGCCATTCCCACGGCTGCGGGGGGCTGCGGCCGCGGAGCACAGCCTCCCCGGGCCAGGGAAGCCGCTTCCCTTGGCTCCCGTCGCCCTCTTCCGCTCCAGTTCTCACGTCTCGGAGCAGCGTTGGCTCCAGCTGCGGGGAGGCAGCGCTAATGCTTTCCCGCGACTATTGTCAGCGGCCCCCAGAGGACAGCTCTGGGCGGGCGGGCGAGCACAGCACGGCGCAGCGGCGCGCCGCGGGCAGCGCCCCCCGGCCGCGACC